GGGGTTAAGGAGGGAAGGAGCAAAAGAGCTTTTACAGAAATTGAGGAGGGGGAGGAGAGGGCTGCGAAGACAACAAGGGGTCCAAGTGGTAAAGATGTGGAGTCCATGTGTGTCCATTTATTAGTGCAACTATTCATTTAACCTGAAACATAATAATGATTTTAATTTCTCCAGTAAAGTGGCAGGGAGTTACATATCTCTCTTTTAATCAAAATTTAACTAACATTGACATTAATTTGACAGTATGGTTGTTAATGTTGACTGGACTTGGTCGTGTTTTGTAGCAATAATGCATCAATAGGAGTCTTATATTTAAGGGGTTAATTACATGTTAACCTAATTGTTTTTGTGTTTATATTCCAGTGTTTGGGTTGATTAAATCGTATGTTTTTCGTCTTAGATCGCTGGTGAAGTTTACAAGTGACATGTGTGGTATTTAGAAAATGTGTGGTGCTCAGAAAATATTTTGTTCTTAGAAACATGATATCGAAAGTACTCTAGTTCGTGTAGGAGATGACAATTGTTCAAAAATTAATTGTATGTTAAGCACTTAAAAAAATGTATAGAACTGAAGAAAAGATCAAATGTTACCACGTAATTAATGTAAAATGATGTTCATAAAATATAACACTTTTGTCAGTAGTGTCAAACAGAAATACAGTCTTGGGTATAATATAATGTTTTGATAGACAACAGCTTTAAAGTTATGTTTAATATAAGTGTGTTTTAGAGATGTTTAAATATAAGTAATTCTTAAACTATCAATTAATGATAAGATGCAGATTACACATAGAATATTTATAATTCATGAAACATTTGCAAATCAGGTCGGTGTAGTATCTTTGTGTACATCTAAAGTATTGTCATGGTCACCTCTCAACAACGTTGTCTAGTTCGTATAGTCTAAGTAATACAGTGAGCATTCATATTGCCTATGAACTGCATCTTAAAGCAGTTTATTGCTAAAAAAACTAATAATATGTTCACTATCTGACCAACACGTGTTTTCCAAGTTAATCTGTGCTTCCAACCAGGCTTGAACCTATTAGGTATACTGGTACATAATCATCAATTGAATTTCCCCGCTCACTGACTACTGTGTAACCATCTACCTGCGCATGTAGCTGAATAGATAATCACTGTCTATGTTGAAAAGTTAATTGTGTTTAGTGACACATACATGCAGCTAAATTCAAATGATGGCAATATGAACAACCTTGTTTTGGAGCAAGATGGTAGGCTCTGTCGATTAGTGCTAGGATTTAATCAATAATGACGCGCTGTCTAGATCAGCTTTTCACTCATATCATGTGCAGTCGAAGTCAGGAGGGGGTCACCGATGATGCTTCACAACTGATACCTATCCACTCATACCGATGTGCATATACTGACGCATACGTCATGCACGTACTTGACGGTGCATATTATCAACACTTACATAACTATTCAAACTGTCAAGAGCTTGTATGTAATCACTGCATACAAAAATCACCATAGTAGTGCAGCCAGGTCATTTCATTATTTCTGACTAACAAAATGTCGAAAAGTATTTAAATGGCAATTTGTGTGTTACATATTATAATGTTCCTACTTACACGTTTGGTGCGAATGTAATGAATAATATAATTTATAAACGAAAATGAATTATCATTGAGTACGGCAAAATATGTCATGTTTTCTTCTTTCGACATGTGTAGCAAAGGGAGATAACTTAAATTACCAGTTTCATCCGCTAGATGGCGTATTATGCCACGCAACCTTATTCCGTGAGTATTTACTTACGGCAATATGGTAATTTATATATGTTGTTACCTTGTGGATTAAGTTGTAGATAAAAGACAATGTGAATTTCAGTAAATTCTACGTTTTGAAATTATGTGTCAGTCATCTCCAAGATGACAAAGGTTTACGTCAACATTTGGTAGTTAAAGAATATACTAAGTTATACTGTAATTTAATGAACCCTTTTCTTCGGACATCAACAAAAACGACTATACCCGGCCAGTTCTTCGGTCACACGGAGACGAACTTATATAACGTCTGTATACCTACTAAGATATATGTTACTAATGCAGTATCATTAATTCGGTATTTTAACCGTGAAACTACAATTTACTGCTAACTTGTAACGTATTGTACCCAACCAACACAGGTCATCGCCACACAGTAGCATTAGAATAAAAAAGGAGTTACTTGACTGAGGTAAATCTCACTAGCTATCTCGAGTTTAAACAGAATGGTACTCTCCTTATTACACATTCCACAATTTCCCGGAATTCGATGAAAATTTGGAACGCAGAACGAAAGATTAGTGTGCTATTTCCGACACAAAAATATGAAAAATCTTGACGAAGTAAATGTACAGGCAAATCGTTTGTTCCATTATCAAATGCGGCATCTATAAATACTTGCGAAGAATATGTGCATTGTTTTATACACTCAAATGCGCATTTAGGATTAAGAATTATATTTTATTTACAATTTCCAACGAACAAAGTTAGTGATGTTGCCAGAACGTGGCAGTGTTTTGTAGGAATCGTGTGTTTGACGGTGCTCCATACTTTAGGAGTTATCTAAATCATCGCTGTCTAGTACAATAAACAATTTTGTAACATCGTTGTACAGGTAACAACACATATCGCTCACATAGTCATAGCTTGCCAAAGGGATCAGTCGGTCTTGAAACGTTGCGACACGTGTAATACATGTACGTACATTGTTTGTGTAGAAAGTAAAACTGTGATATCACTGTCTAGTTTCAAACTTTTTTTTGTCATTGTCTGGTCTTATTTAAGACATGTTCGTTGTGTCTCAGATCAATGTTAGTATGCACGAGTGGTATTTGTTGTGCTCAGATAAATGTTAAGAGCATAGAATAATGAATGGTGCTAAGTAAAATGAAAACGAAATATCAGAGGAGTCTGTGACACTGGAAAACTTGAGAAAGTAAATACAAAAACAGAATGTATTGTTAAAAAAGCTTGATTTACTCTTCCGTTCCAAATGGATACACATTGAACAGATTTCAAATGGAAATTAAAACAAAAGATATTTACCAATTACATGTAGCAGACCCATAGCTAAAGGCAGTTCTAAATAGATATTCTACAGAAAGAAATCGTGTTTAAGAGATGAAAATCACAGAAACCTTACAGTGTGATGTTGATATAAATAATAAAACATTATACCTATAATAATAATGCTTTATAAACCTTTCGTTATTATCACGGCTTAAAAAATGGAGAAAAAATATGACTTCACTCAATACTGTACTTTACTATTTACCTGAAGACCTACAAAAGTGATCCAGATGTCACAGACGAAAATCGTTTCAAGTCAACCATATGTAAAGCTATTTAAACCGAGGACGAGGAGCGGGAAAATAATGAATTCATAAAGCTGAAGCTTTTATAAGCATTTATTCAATAGACACACGCAGCATGAAATCATATATTCGGTTTTGCATTTTTGTTACCACAAAGTTAGTGATGTTGCCAGAACTTGACAGTGTTTTGTAGGAATCTGACGTATGTTTGACGGTGCCCCATGCTTTAGCAGTTATCTAAATCATCGCTGTCTAGTACAATATACAATTTCGTAACATCGTTGTACATTTTAGAAACATCTTTGTTGCACTTTGTCTATTCAATGAGTTAATTACAAAAGTCAGTAATATATCCATTTTGTACTACAGTGATACATGTAGTAGTTACTATAACAGTGATATAAGAAGGCATGTAAATGAGGTTGTCCGACGGCAGTGCACTTTTATCTATTAAATGAATGCATCATATTGAAATATAATGATAATATTGTGTTGTAGTTATTTCCTGATATACAATACATTATACTTTATGTCAACACGCAAATACATGATTGATTTCACATCTACAAATATGAATTAAATATCCACTTGAACAAATTTCTGGGGCTTAAAGTATAAAAAAAAAAATTAAAAAAATATATAGATAGGAAGCTACTCTGAAAGTACTGTAACATGCAAGTATAATGCATTAGATTAAGCGTACATCATCAATTAATTATGATGAGGAAGAGGATTAACATAAACTATATATATCAATGCTAAACTTTGTAAGAAATTATCAAATCAAGTCGGATTGGTATCTTTGTGAATTCTCATTGTTCTACGTCAAATCTCAATAGTTGCATTGTTCGTATACCACGGCTAGTTTTTGCGCG